AGTAAATATTTATTCAGTATGATAGCTGTCTAACAGAAGTTAAATTCATTTCTCACTCATCTGACAATGTACTTAACACAATAAAAAGAGTTGTTAAATAATAGTGAAGTCACGTTGTAATAACAATAACTCATCTCTCTCTTGAGTTTTATTTGTGTGCTTTGTTAAAAGCCACTGTGTCAAATGTCCATCTTGGGTTGCCGTCCGGAGTTGTCCAATATGGCGGACCATCTCGCACATGCGCAGTACCGATCGGGCAGGGGGACGGATCGGGTAGTGACAGCTGTCGTCACTACCCGATCTGCAGCTCTGCCCGATCTGCATGTTGGGTGGGCGGATCGATCCCAAAATATCGATACTTCCGATATTACGTTACGTTTCAAAATATCGATACTAGAGCCAATAGGATCGATACTGTTATACTTTTTTTCTCGTCTCCTCTACTCGTCAATTTCTTCAAAAAACTATGTGCAGACGAACACAAGTATATGCTCTTTTCTTCTCTCTCCACTGCTGTCCTCTTCTCCTCGAGGTTCCCTACCTGAACGCCGATTATCAAGCTGACTGACAGCAGCCAGCAGGGCAGGACAGCAGCAGCCAAAGACTCGCGAGTGCAACACACACACGCGCATGATGGCTGAGAGAAAGAGCAGCGTTGTGTGGAGCAATTTCACAACTGGCAATTAAAACTTAGCGAACTGTGATGTGTGCAAGAAGACAGTTCGCTACTTTGGCCACTTTGTATTGTTATTTTTCATGTTTGCACTTTAAATTTGCAAAAGTAAAACGTGTATTTGTCTATAAAAACTGTCCTGTCTTTATTCATGAAAATGAACTCAGATTTAGTCTATTAATGATGATTTCAGCTAAAAAATCATGTCATGCAGCTCTCCCCTATATGAAAGTACATAAGACGCTTTTCATTAAAAAAAGTATCGGTATCGATATCGGTATCGGCGATACTGGCCCTGAAATACTTGGTATCGGATCGAATCCAGATTTTGTGGTATCGCCCACCCCTAGCGCATGTGCGAGATGGTCCGCCATATTGGACAACTCCGGACGGCAACCCAAGTAGGACAACATTGACACAGTGGCTTTTGGCAAAACTCAAAAGGAAAACTCAAGAGAGATGAGTTATTGTTATTACAACGTGACTTCACTATTATTTAACAACTCTTTTTATTGGGTTCTTTTATTTGGGGTTAAGTACATTGTCAGAATAAGTGAGAAATGAATTTAACTTCTGTTAGACAGCTATCATACTGAACACATATTTACTGTGAATGTGTGCAAAAATGTATGGTATATAGCTGTCTAACAGAAGTTAAATCCATTTCTCACTTATTCTGACAATGTACTTAACCCCAAATAAAAGAACCCAATAAAAAGAGTTGTTAAATAATAGTGAAGTCACGTTGTAATAACAATAACTCATCTCTCTCGAGTTTTCCTTTTGAGTTTTGCCAAAAGCCACTGTGTCAATGTTGTCCTACTTGGGATGCCGTCCGGAGTTGTCCAATATGGCGGACCATCTCGCACATGCGCACTGCAGATCGGGCAGAGCTGCAGGTCGGGTAGTGACAACCGACACCGGACTTATCTCAGCCAATGACAGCTCTGCATGCATCCCCTGGATATTATTTTAGAAACTGCTTTCATCGCGATGCGATGTTTCCAGTAAGAACAGCTGTGAGGTCCGTGCAGAAAGCAGAGCAGTGCATATATATCACTCAGTATAACAGGCCTACTCTTTATTTGCTTTAGTTTAGTAGATAACTACAAACAAAGAGTTAATATTTTTCTAAGACCATTTAGTGCTTCACATAATAAAATACACAACGGCTGTATCCTGATTATGCTTTAGGAGCTGTGTGTGTGTGTGTGTGTGTGTGTGTGTGTGTGTGTGTGTGTGTGTGTGTGTGTGTGTGTGTGTGTGTGTGTGTGTGTGTGTGTGTGTGTGTGTTACAGTGGGTACACTGTAAAAAAATACAAGTTGACTCAACTTAAAATAATTTGTAACCCTGTTGCCTTAAAATTTTGATTAGGGCCAGGAAAGTATCTCAAGTAAATTCAACTTACAATTAAGTTCAGCCAGGAAAGTATCTCAAGTAAATTCAACTTACAATTAAGTTCAGCCAGGAAAGTATCTCAAGTAAATTCAACTTACAATTAAGTTCAGCCAGGAAAGTATCTCAAGTAAATTCAACTTACAATTAAGTTCAGCCAGGAAAGTATATCAAGTAAATTCAACTTACAATTAAGTTCAGCCAGGAAAGTATATCAAGTAAATTCAACTTACAATTAAGTTCAGCCAGGAAAGGATATCAAGTAAATTCAACTTACAATTAAGTTCAGCCAGGAAAGTATATCAAGTAAATTCAACTTACAATTAAGTTCAGCCAGGAAAGTATATCAAGTAAATTCAACTTACAATTAAGTTCAGCCAGGAAAGTATATCAAGTAAATTCAACTTACAATTAAGTTCAGCCAGGAAAGTATATCAAGTAAATTCAACTTACAATTAAGTTCAGCCAGGAAAGTATATCAAGTAAATTCAACTTACAATTAAGTTCAGCCAGGAAAGTATATCAAGTAAATTCAACTTACAATTAAGTTCAGCCAGGAAAGTATATCAAGTAAATTCAACTTACAATTAAGTTCAGCCAGGAAAGTATCTCAAGTAAATTCGACTTACAATTAAGTTCAGCCAGGAAAGTATATCAAGTAAATTCAACTTACAATTAAGTTCAGCCAGGAAAGTATCTCAAGTAAATTCAACTTACAATTAAGTTCAGCCAGGAAAGTATCTCAAGTAAATTCAACTTACAATTAAGTTCAGCCAGGAAAGTATATCAAGTAAATTCAACTTACAATTAAGTTCAGCCAGGAAAGTATATCAAGTAAATTCAACTTACAATTAAGTTCAGCCAGGAAAGTATATCAAGTAAATTCAACTTACAATTAAGTTCAGCCAGGAAAGTATCTCAAGTAAATTCAACTTACAATTAAGTTCAGCCAGGAAAGTATCTCAAGTAAATTCAACTTACAATTAAGTTCAGCCAGGAAAGTATCTCAAGTAAATTCAACTCTCAATTAAGTTCAGCCAGGAAAGTATCTCAAGTAAATTCAACTTACAATTAAGTTCAGCCAGGAAAGTATATCAAGTAAATTCAACTTACAATTAAGTTCAGCCAGGAAAGGATATCAAGTAAATTCAACTTACAATTAAGTTCAGCCAGGAAAGTATATCAAGTAAATTCAACTCTCAATTAAGTTCAGCCAGGAAAGTATCTCAAGTAAATTCAACTCTCAATTAAGTTCAGCCAGGAAAGTATCTCAAGTAAATTCAACTTACAATTAAGTTCAGCCAGGAAAGTATCTCAAGTAAATTCAACTTACAATTAAGTTCAGCCAGGAAAGTATATCAAGTAAATTCAACTTACAATTAAGTTCAGCCAGGAAAGTATCTCAAGTAAATTCAACTCTCAATTAAGTTCAGCCAGGAAAGTATCTCAAGTAAATTCAACTTACAATTAAGTTCAGCCAGGAAAGTATCTCAAGTAAATTCAACTTACAATTAAGTTCAGCCAGGAAAGTATCTCAAGTAAATTCAACTTACAATTAAGTTCAGCCAGGAAGTATCTCAAGTAAATTCAACTTACAATTAAGTTCAGCCAGGAAAGTATCTCAAGTAAATTCAACTTACAATTAAGTTCAGCCAGGAAAGTATCTCAAGTAAATTCAACTTACAATTAAGTTCAGCCAGGAAAGTATCTCAAGTAAATTCAACTTACAATTAAGTTCAGCCAGGAAAGTATATCAAGTAAATTCAACTTACAATTACGTTTCTCCAACTTAAAAAACCAAGTTCACAGGACTCTAAATAAAACAAGTAAACCATTCGGTGAACTTCTTTTTTTTTGTCAAATGAACAAATATTTTTGTTGCATCAACAACTTTTCTCAAATTCTCTCAACTCACCCTTAAGTGTCTTAAACTTAGAATAATTAGTTCAATTGACAAACTGTGTAGTCAATAAAACACTGAATGAACTGACTACCCTAATTCTCATCAACTTATTCGTTTTAGCAGTACCAACAAAGTTATTAAAGTTGTTTAAACTTGACTTTATGTTCAGGGAACATAGAAAGTTGTCTGGTCTAGCAATCTTAAATTCAGACAACTTTTTTGAATTAACAATTGCTCTGGCTACCGAATCCAACATTTTCAAACTGGTGAAGTGAATTTCTGAAACAATTAACAATCAAAAACATACATTTATTCATAATGTAACTTCGTTGAAAGTGCAGTAGCTCAAGGCGGAACATCAGCAGCACATTATTAATAGAACAACAAACTATGCCTCGAGTAATATAAGTTTAAAGGCAACGCCTTTCTTTGAAACATCTATCCAACTGCAAACAAACCAAACTTAAAAACATGAAAAGTTGTGCCTTTAACCGAATCTGTATAGTGTATAAACATGTATAGAGTGCCACAGTACACTTCCTAAAACCCGGATGTAAACTCCTTCCGGTTCCTTCGTCAAAAACGCAATGCAATTTCTCCATAGGATTTTGGAAAATAGCTGGAAATAAGGTGAACAAAACGTGATCTGTCTCTTAAATGGGTCTCAACCACAGGGTTGAGACCCATTTAAGAGACAGATCACGTTTTGTTCATCCGGATAATCTCCACATGTCTACCCTACTTTCATAATTTTCTAATCATAAATCTATCAATCATAAATCTATCGATTATATTTATGATTAGAAAATTATAAAAGTAGGGTAGACATGTGGAGATTATCCGAATGAACAAAACGTGATCTGTCTCTTAAACGTGTTTCAACCACAGACCTTATTTCGAGCTATTTTCCAAAATCCTATGGAGAAATTGCATTTGTTTTTTGTCGAAGGAACCCATGTGCAGCTTACTTCCGGGTTTTAGGACGCGTCACTGCGGCACTCTATACTTGACAGACATATTATCGTTTCATAAAATAACAAGCTAACATATCATTCCAAAATTAACAACAGAGGGAAAATCCAGCACCCTGTTTAAAAGGAAATAGTTAAACAATTGTAATGCAGTTTAGCTGGAACAGAACAAGTCTTGCTGGCTGCCTTGGAGTTGTGCAGCACATCAAATAACCACATTAAATAACCTTAAGGTGGAACCCAGACAGGGAAGGGAACCACATCTCTATATTGTGCCCTGAAGCAATTTGTTTCGCAGTCCATGAGCCCGAGCAGAGCAGGTGCCTCCACCAATGTCCATGATTACCTTCTGAATGACCTCAAAGGTATATTTCAGTCCCTTAGGGTAATCAATGTTGAGGCTGTAAAGTATGCCCATCAGCACAGCAAAGCCGGTTGGTAAATCTCGCAGCTTGCGCAAAACAATGCGCCCCTCCAGGATCACAGCAACATCCGCAATATTCCTTGGTAGGGCTGCCGGCTCCCGTTCTTCTGTGACGATCAGTACGCCAACATCCACTCCGTTTACAGCTGCCGCCTCCTCTGAGTCAGTGGCCTGAATTATATCAGAAAACATTGAATAACTAATCAATCAATCAACAACTTTATTAATCCCGCGAGGGGCAATTGGTTGTGAGCAGCTTATGTTATGTACAGGGAGGAACATACAGGAAGAAAACACACAGATAGATACACCCGGGGGCAGAGATGTGGATCATTCCAATTTACACAATAAGTAGTTCCATAGCATCACAATAAATAAATAAATAGTCAAGTTAAAAAACCTACCAAGAATGTATAAGTTTGAGTGCAGAGGGGATGAATGATTTTGAAAAGCGATTAGTCTTAAGAGCAGGTAGAGCATATCTACGCCCTGATGGCAACAGATGAAATTCATCTGCAAGAACATGGCCTGTCAAGGTGGGTGCTACATTAACACTAAGGAACTCATCTCTTATTAAGTTTGAAACGTACCTCGCAGAACTTGATGAAGTTGGAGGGATCCTCCTTCATGAAATATGGCAGTCCAAGAAGTGCTGCAGACCTTCTGTTCTGGTTGGAGTTCTGCAAAAACATCAAAACAGGCATCAAGAAAATAAACTAGAAAGACCAGGGGCCTGTACTACGAAGCAGGATTTGAGGTTAGCGAGGTCACTTCAGGTTTAACCCTGGGTTTTCTGTACTACGAAGGTGGTTCACTTCTTACTGGGATAGATCAACGCGGTAACTTATGCTGAACGCCTAACCTGCTCCGGAGCAGGTTATGTTCGTGATATCAGATCAACTCGTACAAAAGCGCCGCCTACTGACCAATCACAGCATGGTGCTCGCGGATCGTAAGAACCAAGAAGTTAAAATCATAAACCGGCTAAAAGCAACACAGTTTAAACGGACAAATGCAGAAAGGACAGCTGGCAAAATATCACCGACTGTGTGAATGCTAAATGAATAGGCTTATATATCACTGCCCACCTAGAGCACGATAGATCTGACTATATTACATGTGATCTGTTACATTAATGTGTTGCTTGGATGTGTTTTTATGGCATTGTAAAGTCCAAAAGTCAACATTTATTGTAAAAAAGATAGATGTAATAATTTTCATCATAGACAACATGTTTTTATCAAACGAAATATTCTGCTTCAATCCATATTTATTAGCTTAGTCTTTCAAAAACTAAAATGTTCACCAAGATAAAAAATAAAAGAGTTTGGTCTCCGGCATGTAAAGACATCACTGTATTAACGGGGCGGTCTAGCAGCAATCTAACAGCAATCCAACAGCAACTTCTTCACTTACTTCAGAATCCAGAGACTCCAGCAGACTGTGAATCTTTGTGTCGCGTCTCTCTCGTGCTTTGTACAACTCGAGCAGTCTTGGCAAATGCCGGTCGAGTCCAGAAAGGAAGGACTTGGGGAGGTCAGCAGCCACAAGACGCGTGAACTCAGCAGCAATCTGTAAGGACCAAAACAGAACCCCAATATTAAAACATTCAGAAGAATAGATTGCTCTCCTGTTCGTCCCTGACCCAAGATTGGACAGGGAGCGGCCCCTGCAGACACCCACTGCTCCTGGCTGCCCTTGGACGAAGGACAGCACAGATGGGTGAAAAGCAGAGAACACATTTCATTGTGCATGTGTATTTGTGTTTTGTGTTGATGTGTCGCCTCCCACTGCACGCATGTGTTGATGTGTCAAAGCTGTATGACAAATAAACAATTCTTTAAAAATTATTCTTCAATTATAAAGAGGGGGTGTACATGTGAAAGCTTTATACTCACTTGTCTTTCTGAAAACAATGCTGGCCATCTGCTTTCAACCTCCGCCACAAGTGGCTCCTTCTCAACAATTTCCTGTCTCCGCAGCGCAAAGGACCTGCCCATCAGTGAATCTATCAGATTACAGTCCGGCTTCTTCTTCTTTACCTCATCTTGCAGAGTTATTCTCTCCTCTTCAAGGCTGTTGGGAGTTCTACCTTGCGGAAAATCTGGGAGGAAATTGATCTCGGCCCGCTTTGCTTTCTTCATCTTTCTGGTTTCCTGACCTGCTGACCTCTTGCGGTTGATTGTAAGCTCAGGACATCCAGCAATACGATACTTCTGACGCAGGTTTCCCATCTTAAAACTGAGGCTAAACTTCCAGCAGTACCATCCCTGTGTGGATCCTGGCTCTTTTAAGCATGGATGTTTTTCAACCAGGGCTTTGGCAACATCTTGAACTTGTTTTGGAGTTGGATATGCATTGAAGTCGTACATGGCTCGCCCAACCTTGTCAAGAATGTCAGTCTTGACATCATTGGTGGGAGCGAACAAGGAACCATCCTTTTCATAAGCTTCATTTCTTCGCCTGAGCTTCAACTCAATGTCATAGGAAAAGCTGGGTATGGTGAATGGATCAGGCCAGTGTTTTGAACGACCAGACGTCTCTCCTGATGACCCACTGGAAGTGTCCAAACTCCCTGTGTCCAATGTGTAGTCTGACATAATGATCTTCAGTTTAAGCCTTTCTCTGGGTAGCTCCGATATGTCCGTCAAGTTGCAGAACTCATTGTTGAATTCAGGATCTTGAAACTGGATGACCATCTCACCCTCCAGGGTGAGGTGGTTCTTCAGTATGGTCTTCAGTTCATCAACTGTCTCCGGAAGACTTTCAATTCGAACTCTCTGTATGTTGTCATCTGCAAGGATGACGTGAAGCAACATGCTGGCTGTTCAATAGAGGAGAGAGCTGGGAGAAAAGAGAATATGAACATTAGGTAACTCAGGCATGTGTGTTACGGTCGGGTTAAGCAGGACCCAAACGCAGACAGAGACAATGGCAAGTTTTGGTGAACAAACAGGCTTTACTGGAAAAAAATTTTTACAGTCAAAGCACTGACAGAATAAACCGACAGATAACGATGGTACGAGGGGAACAACGACGACAGGTAGGAAATCTGGGAGACAGACAGGCAAGCAGGAATCCAGGACAGACAGGCTGGCAGGTAGACGGGGAAGGAGAATAGGGAAATACGAATAGGGAATAACAGGGTTAATACCTCAATGTATTAGGAACACCTTAGGTGAGATCAGGAGTCTTCCTTGCAGAAGGTAGGGGGACAGTGGGGAGTAACTGTTCAATTCTTCTGGCTCTGCAACTAGGAGGTCTGTGGAAGGTTTCTTGGTAAGTTCGTAGCATCTCAGGTGCTCCACGTACCAGGCTGAAAAAGGCTCAATAATGAATGAGGCCTTGTCTCCAACAATCAGTACTTTGAGAATCTTCCCAAAATCAGGGAGCCCACTTGTGGTACCAATAGATAAAAACATCCCCTCAGCGTATTTTGTGCCATGCAGAGAGACACTGGTAGCAAGAGACACAGATGAAACATCTTTATACTTGAACTTGATAGCTTGTTTGACAGAGTTATCCAAAATGTCTGGAGACACAAAAGATACATTGCCAGCTTCCACAGGGGGCTTAAAAAGGCTGGGCATGTCCAGGTAGTAAGCCAGCATGAGTTGGTGTCTCTTGGCCAATGTGAGCAAAATATTCTTGAAATTGTTTACATCACGGACAGCTTTCTTGAAAAAACTATGCTTGGCTTCGAAACGGATCGTCCAACAGTCAAGCAAAGGTCCAAAGCATCGGATGAGGTATGGATAATGTTCGACAAAATGATGTTTTGGTCTTAACTTCAAATCAGGAAATGCATCCTGCAGCAACTGCCTATGGACTGAGATTTTATACTCCAAATAGCACAGCGACTCAGTTGTAAACACAGAGGAGGATAAGATTTCTACAATGTCCTTTAGTTCAAGAAGTACCCTCCACGTTTTGTCATTTTCTGGAACCAGTTGACCAACTATCAAGGGCAGTAGCCTTAATAGAGTCCAGTTCTCGTGTCCATTTCCCCCAATTGTTCCATTAACTCTGAAAGTCTGACTTAGTCTCTGGGGTTTGTTAGTCTTATCCGAGAATGAATATGGGAATCTCTGAATGGCAGTGTTCAATTCAGCAAGTGTGAAGTATTTATCATGAATCAATTTGCTCAGACACAAGCTAAGTTCAACAGGCACAATTCCCTCTAATAGGTCATGTAGAACATCAGGTGGGAACCCTGTTACAGTGTGAAAATAGGTCAACCTGTTTAAAACACAGTCCCTTTTAACACCATTTACACTTGTGAGATCTGCATTTTGTTTGAGCTCCGAAACACAAGCTTCATAGGACAATTTAGTCCTGAGAGGAAATTAATCACCTCTTATTTCAGTAGTCTGAATATCCTTACGACTTGCCAAACAAAATCTACAAAACTTATCTACATTAAACGACTCCTGAAAACCAGCAAGAGAATGAGCTCCCAAGTTATCTGCAGAGACAAAAAGCACTGTCCCTTTAATATTTGCCCCCAACCGCTGGATAAAAACTCCTTGGTTTTCAAGTATCTGTAGATCTTTCAAAAGTGGATCTAGAATTTTAGTGTACCCAAATGTTTTTAAATCGTCACTCTTACAGAAAAGGGCAAGGTAAATAGATGACAGAGCTGATCTATATTTGATCGGTAGATTGGCAATTACCCAATACAAGGCACACACTTTATGTTTTTTTCTGGAGGTGCCTAATGGGTTACAAACCTCAAAATCATCTATATACAAACCAACAGCAATTGATAACTCATCTCCAGAGAGCAGAGGATTTTCTTTGAAAAACAAGCCGTCACGAAATGACTTAAATTGACCAGACTGCAACTTTGAACAAGATTCTTCAGCTAACACTTTGTCAAGGATATCATTCCTGTTTAGCAACTCAGTTAGCACACTCAATATGGGCACATATACAAACGTTTTTTTCCGGTCTGCATCTAGGACATATTCTACTGGCTCAATGACAGGGAAATTATCTTTGAAAAAAGTTGACCTTTTGTGATCAGTGCCAAAAGGGCCACTCCTTGAAAGAAAACCAAGAGGATTTGTTCCCTGTATAGCCTCTGTTATCAACGCTAAGGTGCTGCCTTAATACATTTTCAATAGATGTCTTGGTGCACTCTCCAGCTAGAGTACCAATTTCATATAGTTCATCAACTATTTCTTGTGTAGCTGACTTGGAGACATGCAAGAGTGTCTGCATACGTAAGAATAAGGATGCAAGTTTAAGCTTAACTGACTCTCCACTAACATGTTCAAATTCATCATGTGAGACATCCTCTTGTGAGACATCAATGTCTATTGGTGCCGTTACATTACATTCCCCACTGATTGCAGCTGGTGGATCACAATCATAAATTAACTCGGCCCTTAAATCTTTCAATTCGGAAGAGCAGTGATATCTACTTTTATGTGCTCTAAAGGTGGAATACACATTAGAATGAAATAGACATTGCTGAAAAGGGCACTTCAGTTTCCTTGTTTTTCAAATGAACTCCAAAATGAACAAAGTATTCTTTAAGTGTACAGGGCTCAGAGAAATCACATAATTCACAATGTAGTCGATAAGTCACAATATTATTTTGAGATCCACGAGCAACAGTATCTTGAGGTCTCAGAGTCACTGTTTCATGCTTCAGTAAATGATTCTTGAGGGCTACTTGTGTCTTGAAAGAGCACACACAGTCACTGTAGATGCAAGGCAAAGGACAATACCTACCATAATGTCCGTGTTTCAACTTATAGTGCCTTATTATACTACGCTGGTTAGCTGAAGAAAACGTGCAGAACTTACATTTCCACTTCATAGGATTACCTAGTTCTACAATGGAATGGTCCTCTCCCTTTACACTTCCTGTGAAAAAAAGAAAAAAAGTCAAGGTGGTTTAACATTAGTGCACACAAAAAAATAAAAGCACTGAAATTAATTGCCTGTGTTTTCCCCTATTGCTAGCTGAATTGGGGTTGAGGAGATGTGACCATGTTACTGTAATGTTAGTTGGTTGGGGTGTCTCAATTACCAAAAGCCCTGGGACTTCCAGCAGGTCCCCTGCCTGCAGCAGCCCAGGTGCTGGGCTTGGGTGTGATAACAGTGATTCATAGGGGGAAAGGCACTTTTAAATGGGGGGGGGACGTGTCATTAAATAGGACCCAGTCAGGGATGCTCCAGGCCGGGCACAGGAGTGTTTATATACCCCCTGGATAATGGTAATAATGGTTAAAAATCATTGTCATGGGGAGAGAAGCCTATGCAGGGGTACATGAGACTTTTCTCTGCTCGCGGCAAAACAAGCTCACCAAAATGGCTTCACCGTTGTGGCAGTTCAAGGTGTCCTGATAAGACAATAAAATAGCTCTATGCAACGTGTGTGAAGCAGAAAGACAGAGGTGACGGAGACACGCAGCTCTACATAATCACCGCCGCAGGTCCTCCCGTTGTGAGGGACCGTTGAGCGGAGCAACACACACACACCCTTCCAAGTTACACACTTAACTATTTTATCTACCTCTGGAACAAGCTAAACTAGTTATAAATATGTTTATTCTTCACTGTCGGGTCACTCATTACCGGATTAGCGAGCTGCATGAGTCTGAAACTGACTGGCTGTCAGGAGAAAGAGGGAAATAGAGCCTCCGTTTCTCCCGTGTTATTATCCAAAGTGAATCTAAACTTCTTTTGAATGATGTACTTCATCTACTATAAGTAGTTAGTCTGAATGTAATAATTTGTTGTTTTTGTTTGATCGGAGCATCCCTAGTAAACGCCATAGCACCCCCGCAACCCCCCCCCCCCCCAGTTAACCGTTGGTCATTTTGAAAGTAGCAGGCAAGGTGAAAAAGTTTGAGAACCACTGCCCTATACAAATTCCGAGTATGTGTGAAGCATGTACATGGCCAATACAGATGTTGAATCTTGAATATATCCCAGGAAACTAAACCATTCTGAAACCCCCATGCACATTTTGGCTCTTGCAACGACTGAATTCACTTGCTAGCTAACGTTAGCTAGCTACACTAACGAAGAGGAGAAACACGGCCACCGTGGCTAGTTAGGTTTTGCCTCTAATAAACGTTATACATACATACATATAGGTACATTTAAACATTAAACTCGGAAAAAATAAATTATTAACTCACCTTTTGTAATTATTCACAATTTCAACCGCACCGCGCAGGCTTAGTTTTGAATTCGTTCCATGAGGGAGGATGCTGGATGCACGGGTTGACACACGCAATTTTGCAGGGGCAGTATTCTGCGCATGTGCAAAAGCTGAGCAAACTAATCATTCTGAATTGAGTGTACTATTTTAATTTCACAGACAAGTTGAATGGATTAAAACTTGACGTTTCTAGTTGTCTCAACTTTTTGGTCAAATGTAGGTGACCTGACTCACATAAATGAGTTAAAGGAACTAAAATCCAAAATATTTTTTTACAGTGTAGTTGCGGCGGACAGACGGGTCTCAGTTGGTTTGGTGTCCTCTGCTTACTTTTAATAGCCTACTTGTAAATACAACTTTTGGCCCGTAATTTCAATTCCCCATTTCAGCGACCAGAGAGGGGGGGGGGGATATATCCAGTCTCTGATTGTGTTACGTTATTATGAGAGTGCTCTCATACTTTAAATTGTATAGCCTATGTAGCCGGCGCTACTGGATTAGCTGTCAGATCATTTCTTCACGTGGCTGGTTCGCCACTGCCCCTTTAAGACACCCCCCTTCTTTAGTCAGCTGGCCTTTCCAAGGAAAACGCCGCAGCTGTACGTAGTTCAGCATCTCCCGCCACACTTTAAATGCCCACTCACACCTCACCCAAATCAGCTGTGACTATTACGAGTGTTCTAGTTCCAGTCATCGTTGTCTGGCTGATGGGCGTGTATTCCCCCTATACGAGGTATGTGAAGCTGCTGTTAGGACTTGTAACATTCAGTGTACCACTAAATTGTTAACATGTGGCCTGTAAACGCCAGGCTTCTTGACAGCCCCAGCAGAGACTGTGTAAAGAATCACAGTTGCGGAGGTGTCCAGTGAGGTGATATTTGAGTGGGTGCGTTTGCATCAGAGGTAGGAGATTAATTGTATGTACATTGAAGGACATTCATATACATCTTTATACCATTTCTAATCTCCTTTCTCCATTTATTTTAGGATTAGTTTGCTACCGTTTTGCCTTTCCTTTTCTTGATCTTAGGTTTTAGCTGTATTTTACCATGCCTACAGGCTATTTGTTGCCTAAGTATTGATTTGCCTGCCAACTATGTTGGCAACGTGGGCGGGAGCTCAACCTTTGAGGCACGTGACGTCCCGACTCCCGTGTTGTGTACTTACCCAGCCACAAAAGTTACGTATTATCTTATATTATTAATATATATATAATTCTGATGTCTTTGGTTTTTTAAACATTCCCTGATAAACGTTATTTCAGCGTCAATAAATGAGTGTTAATCCCAGTGTGTTTAGTGTACAACATCACATGTCATTTTACCTTCAATTCACGGTTTTCAAAACGTTAGCCACATGCTAATGCTAACCGGAAATGAAGAATTTTCTGAATAAAAGTGTTAAGTTAATAGTTAATGTGAACTTCCGGTTTTTTCAGAATAAAACTGCTTTAAATTAAAACCCTGTATTTAATTTAAATTACGTCATATACTATTTTATTTTAATTTAGTAGGAGAGGTTCTAACCCTAACCCTCATTGAGGCATTGCGCACTGCATTGAGGGGCTTCTCCTTGGTTCTAAGAAAGAACATTGACCCTTAAAAAGCAAGAAACCATGAGAATCACAGGTTTTCCAGACAAACCTTTGCTATGAAATCAAAGACATGTATGTTGGCTGATTCAGGAGTGTAGGTGGACACGCATGCAATTACACAACATCTTCCATACTACTGCAACATACCTACCGGTGGCGGAAGCATACACGCAAGTGGGGCGGGTCTGTGTACCAACAAACAAGAGACAGCCAGCTAGAAACCTTTTATAGGGTGCCCCCTGGTGGTGACATGCTCACAAGAGACTTCTGGCCAACTGCTGAGGGTTTCCCCAAAACCACAATATCACCACGTGTAGCTGTATCCAATCAACACTCACTGCAAATCACCCATATCTGCATGCAAAAAGTGCCCAGCAAACCACATGCTCCACTCCACAGTATGGCCAGGATCGTCACTGAAGAAGTTTAAGCACAGAGACAGTATTAGACCTTGTGGGACAGGGTGGGTCGTTACAAGGAGGGTGCTGTAGCTTTAAAGATTTAAATCACTAGTTTGTACACAATACAACAAACTAGTCAATAAGCAAAACATAGTAGCCTACTGCGGAGGCTCGCTCACCAGTTAAAGTGCTGCTTTAACTGCACGCCTTCCTGCTGCCTTGCTTGGGCCGACACTCAAAGTGTGGAAGTCACTGAACTCTGGGGCTAACTCCCTCTATAACTTGTCCTTACTTTGGCCAACTTGATTTAAATTAGTTTGTTTATTTTATTCTAGTTGTTTATTTTGTTTAACTGAACCTTTTCTCTTTTGATTTGTTTTATTCTTAAATGTTTACACAAGTTATCATCTGCTTATGAGAACATATTTGATATTGTGTTTGTTGATTACTTTGATTTACGTATTTAGCCCCCATTAACTGCGTTTCCCTCTTTGTTTCCCTACTTAGTTACTGAGAGCTGACGGTGGTGGTGCTGGTGTCCAAGGTGGTGGTTTTCCTCTCTTCTTTTGTGTGTGATGTGCTCCCCCGGGATTTGATTTCCTGCACGTATGACTGGGGTGATTTAAGTTTGGTTTGTTTGGGGATCCTTCCACTCACTCGTCGACCCTATCCCCCCACTGGTAAGCCTCAGCCCCCAATTCATTTTTCCCCTTTGTGCTACAGCCCTGTGCGACTGTTTTTAACTGCATTTTAACTAGTGACTTGTGCCAAATAAAATTGTATATTTTTGATAACTTGAAACCGCGTCTCCTGCCCCATTAGTATTCGAACCTATGTGTCCTCTCTATAACTGAAAGAAGTGTTAATATTTCCTTGGGTGAAACTCCCAAGGTGGCGTTGTCGGAATGGTGTAATCAAACCAACTTTAACAAATACATTCACCTATCCTCCCCTCTGCGGCTACTGCCACACGCTTTTAGATTTTAATTTAATTTTTGGATTGATCCCGCTGCTGGTAGGGAACTGCTGCGCGCAGTTCCCTCCCCCCTCCAAGGGAACTCCGCGCAGACAGGCTTCCGCTCCTCGCAGCAGATCGCAGCAACGAGCCTCTCAACGTCCCGACCAATCAGAGCACACTGGGCTCACAGGGAGGGGGGGGCAGGAGCTCCAACAAGCCGTTTAGGACAGTGAATACACATACTTTACAGAGATGCTGTATGAGGAAACCAATGTGAGTTTGGAAAATTGCACAATATAAATCTATTTTAGTAGACCTCAACAATGGAATTATGATCAGTAGAAATGGCCATGACATGAGACTTTTAAGAGGATGTTTGTCCTCCTGTCTTCTCTTGTTTCCTTATCTTTCTTTCAGGTGTAACATCTAGGCTACCAATGGTTGCTGTACTAGTCAACCCTTCCAGTGCATGACATTAAGGATTTTGGGAGATGGCCCTGAAAAATGCTCGCGGACTAAATGACGCACGAAGGGTTTGGGGGGCCTCCCCCTAGATTCTAGAACATTTAGATTTTTGCTGGTCTTAGATGCTGTCTGGTGCATTCTCTAGACTGAATTATAAGATGAACCACCACAATATTATATTGTTCAATTTTATTCTTAATTTCACTTGTTTGTTCTTGTTTGTGTTTGCTCGCTTGCACGCCCTGCATATAAGAAATACTTAAGTTGTTGGTCAAGACACTTTCCATCTGATGAAGGCAAATGCCTTCCCAGATGTAAAAACGTAGAAAACATTACATTCAGTTATAATAGAATATAATTCCTTTATTGTCATCGCACCAGGTACAACGAAATTTAAAAAAAGCAATCCTCGCAGTGCATTTCCACATAAAACGAATAAATATAAACATATATACACACATAAACATATGCTCACACATCCATACCAACATGCATACATGCCCGCACATTATTTAAATACAGTTTACAATATAAAAAACACAGGGATGATATTTTGCATCTCTGATGTCGATCAGTTAATAAGTTAATACAACTATTAAAAAGTAGTGCAGTTGTAATTGTTCAGTTCAGCGTTTGACGGTGTTCAGTTCTCGTATGGCTCTGGGGTAGAAACTGTTTTTCAGTCGGTTTGTCCTTGATTGAATATAGCGTCTACCGGAGGGCAGAAGAGCAAACAGGAAGTGTCCAGGGTGTGAAGAGTCTGCAATTATTTTTGCCTGCTCTGTTGAGGCTATAACTGCGAAAACAAACATTATCACATTATTACACACTATTATGGCCCCTGTTAAAAATGTTTGTAATGTTATCTACTGTAAGTTGGTCGAACGAATGCCTCCTCATCCGGAAGCTGACTGAGCAGACCCGAGCAGCAGTCGAGAGGAGCCGAGCGCATCCGCGAAGCACACAAAATGGGACGTCAGAGTTCCCGTTAGCCGGCAAATCTAAATCTCTTCGGTCAAAATAATTTCCCTTTAGAGCAATACCGCTTCAGTTGCACCACTTATGTGACAGACAAGAAGAGTCAATTCTAATGTCTAACACTTAATGTGGAGAAAGAGATGTCCTGTGTGGGTTGATTGTGCGTTGATCTGTTGGTAATGCCTCGGGGTTCCGGTGGGCATGTAAACAAATGCATAATGCTGCGCTATACTTTGTGGCCTCACCCAGTTGCATAGCGACACTTATTGTTTAGGTGTCTTTTAATAAGCAGGTAGTCATATCATTAGCTGGATCTGATCGATATGGACATAAACGCGAGTGAAGTCTAATCTGACGGGAGAGAGATCAGCTGCTGCTGCTGACTAGTCGACACGCAGCTCTGCATAATCACATGCAGCGGTGAGCGGACAAAACACACACTTCAGGTTAGAATATCACACGTAGCTATTTTAATTACCTCTCAAACTACCTGAACTACTGTAGTTATAGATATGTTTAGTTTTACTGTCGGGTCACTCATTACTGATCCCCGAGCTGCATGATACTGGCATAATAGATTGCCCGATCGGGCAACCAGCAGGTGAGGCTTCATTGCCCGAGCTAAATACTAGATATATATAGATATAGATAGGGCCATCGGGCAGCCCTTAATGTCGAGCCCTGCCTTCTGATCAGGTCCTTTTCCTAAATAGTGATAAGTTGTTTTCCAGTTCAGTATACGTTAATTTAGCAACTTAATGCTTTACCGCTGTTGAATAAATCCTATATTGCTAGTCATTTTATTAAAACTACGATTTGTAAACTTTTTGATTACAATAATCTTTTTGTTATAATTGTAAAACATATCTTAACATCCATCAGCAATCAATAAAACAAATCATCCAACACAAAATAGAAGCAATTCTGACCTATTCTATTTATTTTTATACAACAGCATCTATTGGGACTGCTCATTGATGTCATCAAGATTCATTAATCATCCATTAATGGCGCATTTCCACTGCAGCGGGTACCCCCGTTTAAGCGTCCTTAATCGTCCTCAAGCGGCCAGGCCAGTTTTTGGTGGCCTTTCCATATAGCGTAGCACCGGCTAGCGGGTACTTTTCCCTCTTTTACCGGCCCCATAAAATCGTGGTTCTATCAGGCCAGGGCTGAACTAGTGACGTCAACACTCTCGACTGCTGATTGGTCAGAGAGAATCGTCACAAGATTGTGCGCGAGTTCATCCTAGCGTCGCATATATCTAGAAGCAAGCGTGCAGCATTTTTATAAACAGCATTTTTGTAAACGGAGGAGCTACAAAAATGGCAACGTAAAAGAAAAGCACACCGTGGTCGACCGAGGAGGTGACGACGTTCCTACATCTCATTGGGGATGATAAAATCCAGCGGGAGCTCGACGGAACAACTCGAAATGTGAAGCCGATCGCCCCGCCTACACTGCGTTGCTACCCCAGGTCCTAAACTGTAATGGAAATGCGCCACGGCCTCGGACGGCCAGCGAGGCAGCCCGAGGCATGAGCGAGGACGCTTAGGGACGCTTAAACGGGGCTACCCCGCTGCAGTGGAAACGCGCCATAAGTCTACCTTTTGTAGTCGGCCTCTTATGGCGCATTTCCACTACTCGGCCTCGCTCGGTATGGCTAGGCCTCGTTAGGCCTTGTTAGGACTGGCTTACTTTATGGCGCATTTCATTTTTTTGTTTTCTTAGTTATGTTCTCTGTATTTTTTATGTTTGTTATGTGTAACGTTGCTGCCTTCTTGGCCAGGTCAGCATTGAAATGAGATTGTATCTCAATGCTTTTATCTGGTTAAATAAAAAATAAATGTCCATTAGTTTAGTAGCTGGGGCAGTAACGCAGTGTAGGCGGAGCTGCGACGTCATCTTCGATGAGAACCGCAGAAAAACAACATCAGCTGTTAGCAGTCAAGCTCACAGCTCCTCATATCTGTTCAGAAACTAGACAAAAGTTAAACAATTATAAACCATAGACTGTCTGTGTCATGGTGGCGAATACAGTCGCTGGTTTATTTATGTCTGTATAGGCCGTTGTGAGTGTGGACGATCGGAGCATATACGGAGTTAGCTTAGCCGATCTCCATTTAGACAACATGCATTTAAAAAGGTTTTTCAAGCTCGGTGTCATCGTATTGGCCAGTCTAAGGCGGTGAACGGTGTACCGTCTGATCACTAGGAACTCCTATGCGAGGGAAATGCTGGATAAAGCTAGTCTGAAGCTCGGGCTGGACCGTGCTGTCCTATAGAGCAGTGGGTTTCAACTGGTCAGGCCTCGGGACCCACTTTTTACTTGGTCAATACATCGCGCGACCCAACATTTTGAAGCACTCAAATCTATTCAACAAAAAACGTGCTGTAATATATACGCTTTTCAGCATACAATATTAATGTAAGTGAAGTACAGTGCATATATCCCTTATATCCCTTCACAGAACTAAAGTATGCTTTTAAAAAAGGTTTAATGAGATGATGGAATCAAAGCTGAACTATATAAAAAGGCACACATGCTGAAAACCGAACCCAAGCAGGGGGGTCTGGGGGGATTCTCCCCCAGGAGATTTTTAGAAATACTAACATAAACTATGCATTCTGGTACACTCTGAGAAGAAAATAAATAGATGTATTACTACCCGACATGTTAATATTGTATGCCATTGTTTGTTTTTCACTTTATCTGACATCTTGCTGCGAGAAGAGTAAAGAGGAGATAGTCTGTGTGACTTACTTCAAATTGTGGGTAAGGGTAGATAGCTCCAATTGTTCTGTGACCTGTCAATCATCAGACCGGGGCTCATATTTCTATGTGTTCATTTCTATCTGAAGTTGTACCCATGGATGTATAAAGAAGAGTTCTACAGCAAAGTTATTCTCCGTGGGGACTTCCGGCAACAATCTTGATTCTGATTGGCCAGAAGACTCGAAAAAACATCAGCAAAGATATTTTATTGAGAGGATGATCACTACGTGACAGAAGTTTTCAAAGCCGTTTATGGTCTCCGGTACTTCCTGTCCAACGCCGACTGCATGCACAGCACAGCGTAAGAAAATCGGGCCTTCAAAATAAAAGTTTGACTTTTTCCCCCAAAAAAAAAATTCAATTCAATTTTTTTTTTTTTTCACTCACACATCCGCGACCCACTCCTAACGGGTCCGCGACCCACTTTTGGGTCGCGACCCACCAGTTGAGAACCACTGCTATAGAGCATGAGTGGGAACAAAGAAGGCAACAACAAGGGGGTGAGTAAAAGAAAATCTGTCATATTTCTACCCTCACCTATGGTCATGAAGGATGGGTCATGACCGAAAGAACGAGATTGCGGATACAAGCGGCCGAGATGGGTTTTCTCCGCAGGGTGGCTGGTGTCTCCCTTAGGGATAAGGTGAGAAGTTCGGTCATCAGGGAGGGACTCGGAGTTGAACCGCTCCTCCTTCGCGTCGAAAGGAGCCAGTTGAGGTGGTTCGGGCACCTAGTTAGGATGCCACCTGGGCGCCTCCCTAGGGAGGTGTTCCAGGCACATCCAGCTGGGAAGAGACCAAGGGGTAGACCTAGGACCAGGTGGAGGGATTATATCTCTTCGCTGGCCTGGGAGCGCCTTGGGATCCCCCAGTCAGAGCTGGTTGATGTCGCCAGGGAAAAGAAAGTTTGGGGCTCTCTGCTGGAACTGCTACCCCCGCGACCCGACCACGAATAAGCGGGAGAAGATGGATGGATGGATTTCTAGATGCCAAGTCATTTTTGGGTCAGTCGCTGTTGCAGTACGATTAGTTTATTTTCGAAAAGAGTTTTCTAAATCCACTTGTGTAAATGTCTCTCTGCGTCGCCTTTAGCCGGTCCAGCAGTTCTCCAAGAAGGAGATCGAGGACCTGCTGAGGAAAGGAGCCTACGCCGCCATCATGGACGAGAACGACGAAGGCAATCGCTTCTGCTAGGAGGACATCGACCAGATCCTGCAGCGAAGAGCCACCACCATCACCAGGTATACGTTCTTAGCAGCACTAGCCACTTGCTCTTTGTGAGATACCAAGTACTTGGTTGTTTGAAATGTAATATTGATGATGTAATAATTAAAACTAGGGATGGGTACCGAGCCCCGGTATTAACGGGCCCCCG